GACAATGGCCTCAGTAACGGTTCCATGCTCTGTGAATTTTGTTTACAGTAGAATGTCACAATGATTTCCCTTTGTTGTTCATACTGCATCGGTAGATTGCTCTTTTTGAGTTGGCTTCTTGTGCGGAATTCACGAAAGTTTTATCTTCAGTGGGCGTACATAGTGATCAGCAGCTTCCCAATTGAATTTCAGCTTTTGCTTTTACCTGGTGTTGCTCGTGCCCGAAAATCGCATTCCTGTTCATTAAAATTTAAACGACAACGGCATTTTATTTCGCAATTGGCTTTTAAGAGAAACATTGGGTTAAGACCAATTTTAAAAAATTCGGTAATAATGTCTCCTCCTCATACCATTTCAGTGTATTCAGAAAATGCATACCTCACCGAAGGCAGACAGTTCACAGTGTATTTAGGAGGATCGAGTGAAATGTAACTAAAATAAATGTATTTTCGATTTCACATGCCAGGCCCTCTGGTTGCTTTTGTTCTTCTGAATACTGGCTGAAAAAACAGAGTTTACGACGCACCTATGAATGTTGTCAGCCCTTTCTGCAACGAAAACAATTTCCGTCTGCCTCAGCCAGGCAAAATATTACCAGTTGACATGAGGTAAGCGTGCTACGATCAAGACAACACACAGTTCAGCAAAACAAAAGGGATTATAAAAATTTTTACTATAAGCGGAAAGCTTCAGCGCAGACACCTCATAAATAAGTCAACAGCAACGGCAATATGTATCGTTTTACTGAATTTCGGCCATTCCAGCGACTGTCGCATTCCAAAAATAACGCATCACATATTTATGAAATGATTCCAGACGCTTGGTCTCGCCGTAATTTCCAACATCCTTTCCTGGCACAAGGTCATTAGGGCACATAGGAATGGTAACTGTGGCCAAAGGTATTAGACCTTCTTAACGCAATATTTCGTCTATGGTCCCATTAATTTTATATTTTAACGCCGGACCATCGCATCGCTGGGACAGCAGCGTTTCGCGCGGGGGTCACACACATTACAGGTTACAACTTCAGAAATTTCAAGTAGAGGCGTAAATTAGTGTATTTTGATTTAATTATCATATGGAAAACGTGTGTGTATTTGAGATTTATACGGAAAGTGTATAAAATTGATATATGTTCCTACCAGAGTAGTAAATTAGCTAGCATCGGCCGTTTCTGTTTATGTGCTAATTGGTATGCACTATATATGTCTATTATACTACTTGGTTACCAAAGCAAATATTATTAACCAGTAACTTGAATTTCTTATACCTGAAAAATTCTTGGCTATGAACGACATAGTTCAGGTTTTAAACAGTTGCCATTCATACAATAGAT